ACACACACACACGCACGCACACAAACATACTGCATTCTCTTTTACGTTTTAGAGTCAGAGTGAAAGATAGAAATGGCCTTGTTGGGGCGCTTAAAGCAGCAGTTTGGTATGACTACTTCAAATCGACTTCAAATTGCAGTGTGAACTGGTTTCAATTAAGGCCGTGTTCTGGGTTTCTTCTTCTTCATGACAGTTAATAAATGATTTGTCTTCTCTTTTGACGTTTTCTCTTTTTTTCCTCTTAATCCAAATGTAACTAATACAGATTTTAAATACGTATATATTTTTTAATCTTTTTTATAAAAGTAATCTAAAAGCAACTGCTTGCAGTGATTAACCTACAGGGGGACCCACTGGAATGTTTTGCTGACTTAATCCTTTAAGCTTTTTTTTAATGTCCTGTACATTTCCTTTATTATTCTTTTTCATTTTAGTTGAACCCTTTAATGAGTTTAAGAGGGGGAAAAGCCGTATACCTTTATAGATAATTTACCAGGAGTTATTAGAAAGTTTAACAGAGCCTGCCTGATACTTGATTCCTTATTTGGTTTCACCTTTTCCTGATTCAGCAGTCCTGCCCCAAACCTCTCACACTGTGTTATCACAGACAGACAAAGCTGCCAGCTGTTCATACCTGAGAAAATGTCCTGACAACCTTTCGTAACAATTGTGCGAACCTGTCAATAAATAGGGTCGCACAATGGTACGGTAATAAGGAATTTTACTTGCTAAATCCCCAAACTTTTTTGTTGTTGTTCTTGTTTTCAAGAACATGAAAGGAGTGGCTCTGTTAAGAAACATTCCTCCACGATACGAATGCCAAATGTAAATTCTCAGGAAAATTGAGATGAAAAGCAAGCTCGGGTGTTTGGCTTTGCTTCAGGATAAACTCAGTTTCTTAATAGTTACACATTCTCAGAGATGAAACTGGTGGTTTCAGGCTTTTTGTCTTAAAAAAAAAATCCTTTACAGCAAATGCATGCTGCCTTTTGTCTGGTTTTCTTGTGAGTGTTAGCAACATCACCCAAAACTTCCTAGTTAACTTCCCTAAATTATCTAATATTTCATAAAATAGGGAAGTTCAAAAAAATCTGCAACCCTATGATGCCGAATGTAGGCTCATCATAGAAAATAGCAACAGCCAAATATTGTTAAATGCCTAATATTTTAACACAGAATAAGACCCTTATAGGTATTTTTTTTCTTTTGTTACAGAATATCATTTTACTACACAACTACAAATATTTGAGTGCAATTTAGTGTCGCAACTACTAAACTTTAAATTAAAGTAGAATTTTGAATGCAGAACATTTACTTATAATGAAAAATAATCCTTTTTGAGTTTTCTAGTTTTTCTGAAGGAAACTGTGGTTATTCTGATTAACACAGCATGAACGCCTTTATTTAAAAAAAACTATTAAAAATGAGAAATTGGAGAAAATTTTAAAAATGAGTATCATCCACATTGTTTTCTGTAAATTAAGATTAGCAAGCGTGTGTCAGAATCCTGTACACTGCCACTGGTTTTATTTTGAAAAAGGGGGGGAAATTTAATTTTTTCATAATAAAGTCTTAATAATAAATTCAGAAAATTAGAGTGTTTAAAGATGTCTCTATATAAGAGCAGCTAAACTGAGTGTGGCGAAAGTTAGCATAAATGAAATCCTTGGCCAATCTGTTTTCCAATTTCTTATTTTTATGAAAAAGTACGTGTATTCATACATGCATTAAACATCAAATCAGATCAAATTCCGATCGTGCTAGTCCCAAAGCAGGATGTTCTTAATTGGACCATCCTGTCATTGACAGTTCCTGCATGAGAAAAAAACAAAAACAAAACAAGCTTGGGAACTTTATGAATTAGCTATTGAGTAATTTGTAGAAGTCGTGGAGTTACACGGTTACAGTTTCAGAAAGTGTGTTTGTGTGTGTGAACGTTTGAGGTTTGTGTCACTCTCTCATCTCTATACTGCACTCAACATATCTAGTTGGTTTGTTTTCCAGCCAGATCAGAAGTATGTTTGCTAATGTATTCAATCTGGGCGATGGCTCTCAGAGCTGATTTCACACGAACAATGATGATGAAAAAATGTAAACGTCCCCATTTACAGTAATTGGTCTGGGACACTCTGTCTGCACTGTGCGTTTTTTGTGATGCAAATTATTTAAATGTGGGGTTGCGTACAAGGCTGGGCGGAGGGAGATTGACATAGATACTTCCATGTCATTATCCCCCCCAAAGTTTTACCTTTTCACAGGGAATCGGGGAACTCTGCAAACAGCATGGAAGACAAGTTTGCATGAAAATCATAGCACCGGGATAATGACCTTCTTGTGATCATCTATGACTCTCTGAAAACATGGGTTCCAATGAAAGCATGATCATGGGGGGGCTTACTTACAAGCCTGTAATTGGCTATTCATTGGGACAATCTGACATCAAGTGCTGTCACATCTAAACTTTGTCCAGAAGTAGAAGGAAAAAAGCAAAACAATACATTTTTGACTCTTTCATACAAAAAAGTAAAAATTTGATCATTTACATGAAATTGTTGGAATTTGAAACTAATTTAAATATTTAAGCACGAGAGTTAAAAAAGAGGAAATTTACCATAATAATTGTCAAATTTATAGCATTTAAAGCTTGAAACTACTTCTTGTTTTTAAAAATTGTTTTTAGTGGTTTCTTTAAATTTTCTTAATATTCTTGATTTATATGTATTCACTATAAATAAGTTGTGAAGATGAAAATAAACTTAGCTCTACTAATATTTAATTATAAAAGATAAATATATACATTTATCTGTACAAATGTATTTTTATTTATTTTTTTTAAGAAAATATTCAGATGTCAGAAAAAACGGGGACTAACATGAATCTCAAATAAAGCAGTAACTAATGATAAATTCTACAATTTGCTGATTGACTTACAAATCTTTCTGAAGATGCTGGTACAATTTTAAGATCAGAAAAAACTTAATAATAATTCTTTTAATGCATAAAAACGGATTTGTAGATTTTTCTTAACGTCTCCTTTTAGATTAAATAAATCAGAGGTTCATCCTGATGTGAAGATGAAGCTGATACTCTGTAGAAATGTCCAACTTCTAAAATAAATAAACAAACAGGTTCATTAGTTATGCCTTGCAAACGACCACCGGAGCAGAGGGGGGTTCCCCCTGCCACAGATCAAGCCACCGGGCCTTGAACCTGACCCCTCCGGCTCATCTAGGGCGAGCTTGTCACATTGCATTCTTGCTGGTGCATTGTTGCCGCAGGAGCTCCTCAATAGTTTTGAGGGAGATAGTGTGGCCGTCCATCTAACAAACCTCCTCTCTCCCCTCCCCGATCTCTGCGTGCTCCCGGTTTTGACACAGGAGACAAAACCCGCGGAGAGGACTATGAATGGTAAAGCACCGAGGAGGCCGAGGGAGAGCAAAAGGAGGCGGTGTGCCTTTGTAGTCGGGGAGGAATGCGGAAATGTCCCCGCTCCGTGTCAAACCTCTCTGAAGGGGGTCAGGCCACATTCAGCCGGCGTGGGAAAGCCAGGCAGAGACGGAGCTCACACAAGGCGAGCGAGGCTGCAGTTGCATAGGCCTATCCGCGGATATATGGAAGAAGAAAAAAACGAAGAAAGAAAGAAAGAAAGGAGAAAATCCAAAGAAGAGCGTGGTTCTGGAGGGCTATATCACGCGTTTGCCTTTGTCCTATGACCCCCCCCCCCCTTCCCAATCATACACCCCCTCCCCTCCACACACAAACTTGAAGTGAGAGTGTGTGCGCGCAAGTTTGCGTACGGCCCACCACCACCGCCGCCACCTCCTCCTCCGCTCGATTTTGGTGTCTGCCTGGGCTGGTGTAGTCTGAGGGGATGGGGGGTTAGAGCCTGCACCGTCAACTACCTGTGTGGCCCCGGCATGGAGGAAAGTGGACAGGGATGCATTTGACGGAGCAGTTTTTATCCGACACACGAAAGCGTCCTCAGCGTTATACCGGGCATGCCGACGTTGCGACGTTGTATTGACAACATAAAACAAGGTAAACGCTGAAAGTGGGCATATTTATGCAGATATTTGTGCAAAACAAAGTGTCTTTATGAGCCTGACAATGCTTGCTTTGCAACCCAATGAGGTTTTAAACGGTGACATGATCAATTCCCCGATTTATTAGAATGTAAGCCATTATTTGGCACACTTTGCGTCCACGCACAAAATAAATTGGAAAAAAATTCGGGAAAGCCACCCAGGCTAATGAAAACACACTTGAAACTCGGATGCGGTGTCGTTTCACACATTTCGAACCGTTTCGGGCTCGGAAAGCGACATTTAAGGGGTTTTAAATGGATTGTTGCTGTAGGAAGTTCAGACAATGCAGCCACGTGCTCGCAAGTTTGGGTGTCCTCAAAGAGAAACTTTGACAAACCAGCACAGGGAGGGCTGCTAGTTTGATCTTGTTGCTGGCGTAAAACGAAGAAGCGGGTGAAATATATGGTCATTTTTGCATGTTGTGATAACAAATAATTAAAAAAAAAAACCCGAGACAGCTCGTGCGAAGATTACATGAGCAACACCGCATGCGGGGTGAATTATTGATTGCACGAGACAAATTATTGGATGCAAAGCAAGCATTTAAAGGGGTTAACTGGGATTAATTTTAATTATTTTTCACATTAGTTTTATGTTAGAGGTAGGAGGACATGAGCTGCAGTGCGTAATAGGAGGAGGAGTGGAACTTGGGACGCAGCGGTTCTTTTCTTTTTTTTTTTCATTTTGATAGTCGGAATAAAACATCATGACAGTCCTTTTATTGCCTACCTGGAGCACTCTTTGACCAAATCTGACAAAGATGGTGTCTTCCCCCATCTGTGTCTCCCTGTCATCTAGGCATTGCATGTGCCAACTTTTTTCTCTGAAAATGCCTTTGTAAGAGAGTCTGGCTCGTCATCCTCGCCCGGGATTCCCCGCAATATTTTCAACAAGAGAAGAAGAAGAAGGGGGGGGGGGGAAATTCTGCAAAAATGGACAAAGAAAGTGTTGGTACTCAGTATGAGCCTGTGGCCGAGATTGGAGAAGGCGCCTACGGGAAAGTGTACAAGGCGAGAGATTTGAAGAACGGGGGACGCTTTGTTGCCCTAAAAAGAGTTCGTGTCCAGACGGAGGAAGAAGGCATGCCGCTCTCCACCATCCGCGAGGTGGCGGTGCTGAGGCAGCTTGAAGCCTTTGAGCACCCCAATGTTGTCAGGTAAGTGAGGGGTGAGCGGAGGTGGGGAACCAACCTGCTTTATGTTTAAGAGACAGGATGGAGGGGAGGGGTGGGGGGGGATCGTGGTGGTGGTGAAAGAAATATGCATATTAGACTAAGTATACATTACTTCCTTTTTGATGGTCTCTTGTGGCAACTGTGATGGCTCATATGACCTTTGGTGGCAAAGCCTGCTTGCAGACTTGTCTGAAGCTGGTGGCCCTTTTAGTTTCCTGCAGGCAACACAGGCTCCACAACAACACACTGGAGGCTGTCACTATCAGCAGGTTTTAGGCGCACACCTGTGCATTCTCAACTTCCTGTTTAGTTCAAAAGCCCGCCCCGGTTTATCTTGATTGGTTGGCACCAGTCACATTTGTCACCTCATGCATATTTCATGTGTGCAAATCTTCATCTATAGATAAGATGCAGCAGCATCCTTCGGAAGCGGTGGTTTTCCACTACCCTAGCCTCTATTATCGCTGACTTGCAGAATGAAGCGAGACCTGCATGCTTATGTGTTTAGGGGTGCTTGGTCAAGATCCCTTTGATATTAGGAATGGTGAAGACATGTGAGGTTCCATCGGACATACAATGTAGCCGTTCAACATTCGGACCTCCTTTCACATTTTGGAATATTTATAAAAATACTGATATCTTCAAAAAGACAAAACAAAACTGAAATTACCTGCTTAGAATCAGAATCAGAAAGGGTTTTATTGCCAGATGTTGAGCAGGTTTACAACATTAGGAAATTGCTGCGAAATCCATACTCTTAAGAACACTCAAAATATTTCTCATCCCAGGATTACTTGGTACAAGACATTGCATTCAGTGAAACCTTTAAGTTTCCACGTGACATTACGTTGCCTACTAGGTGAGGATTGTTGTAACATTTCTCAGTCAATTGTTTTGCTTAACCAGCAGTTACCTTTTTTTTTCTTTAACTGTTACAACAGAAGCTAAACAGAAACGCTTAATTTTCCTATTTAAGATGACTCTGTTAGGTATGTGAAACCCTGGCAATCTGAATCCACGTGTTTGAAACTGGCAAGCCTGCGCAGCCATGCCGTTGACTGCTTATGCACTCATGACGAAAGGGGAGTAGTCAACAACACCATAATCACATGTTAACACGTGTGCATGTAACGATTTTCATTGGACGAAGTCTTTAAAATGGTCTGTGCTATGTGGTATGTACTCAGTTTTTTTTTTTTTTAATGGGTATACATGATTTTCCAACCAGCGAGATACATTTGATCTAGAGAGCCTACAGAAATGTGACAAACAAAATAAAAGCATGAAATAAATAAAAAGTTTAAGAGCAAATGTTTTGAATTTTACAGTTAACAATCAAATAAACATCCCGCCATGTTCTGGCATGCGTGGAAATGCTGATTATGATTCTGCATCAAGAAGATAAAAAGATCTAAGCGACTTTGAACAATGTCATTGTAGGGCTACTGATTGCAAATACATCAGAAAGACTCCTCAGTTGGCAAGCCTGCATTTAAATCTAGATGAACAGTAGTTAATATGGTTGGAAATTGTGGTCTACATTGCACATTTAATGAATTATGCATGCAATGTGATATGCCAGGAAAAAACGATGAGCCACTCTTCCTTAGGTGACTAAGCACAAACGGTCTATTACTGATTACTTAAACAGCAGAGTATAAATCCTTCGTTAAATCGATATATCCACAGCCACTGGTTTGTATTTGATAAGTGAGACATGGCTTCTTGGAGTGAAATTTGACCACAAATCAACCTTAAAGATCAACTTTCTCTCGGTGTGATTTCTGTAGCATGGCAGTGATCCCTTCCAGGATGACCCTTGTCTGCAGGGTTCCAGGGATCACCAAGGGTTTGGGCTTTTTGCCCAACTAAACACCTTTTGGAGATTTTTGCCTGGTCTTCATAATCATCATCATCACAACACCAGGTCTTTCAGAAGAATGGTGTCCATCCCCCCAGTACAGTTTCTAAGACTTGTAGGATCAATGTGAACGCACATTAAAGCTGTTCCCATGTTGATTTAGTGAGATCATGTGCTGGCGTTTCCATAACTGTCTCTGTAGTTAAACTCATGTGCCCATCAGTACTGTTCTATCCTATCCAAATGGCCTCCAGTATGACACTTGGCACGATCAATGCCAGTTGGCAATACTGCATATTTAAAAACAAAAGAAGCTATTTTTTTCTAGTTTTCCTTCTGACTGTTTTGCACACAGATGCCATTTTCTTTTGGTTTTTGTAATGACTTTTCACTGAGAGAGCAGGACTCTGATACTGCGTCACATGCTGGCACAAGCCAAGGTCTGACCTTGTGCTTGTTTTAGTCTGAATATCGAGTGCTTTGGGATTGAAGGGGAAGCTCTAAATGGATGTTTTAGAGGCATGGCTTGTGCCCTTGTGACTCTAACAATAATTCCCCAACGTATCAATGAATAATGGAGGATAATGGTTGTAGCTTTCTCTTAATGGGTCCACAGTGGGGGTTTGTCCTTACTGGAAGACGGACATGTAAGCAAGTATTAAAACGATCTTTGGTCAGTTATATTTATGGATGGATACACTTTGCTTCACTAGACGCTTTCCATATTATGCAGCAACATTTGTTTGTTAAAGCACGTAAACCAGCAGCTCTTTAAAGCGTCGGAGAAACTCCTCTACCCTTGAGTTTAGCCAACTAGCATAGCCAAGCAGCACAGGGCCAGGAAAAGTGCATTGTGGGCCTTCTGTGTGACTCCAGGCAACCCCTAGATGTTTGTAATGAGGCCCATTATTCATTCCATATGTTCAGTGTCTGCTAAAAGCCTCCATTGTAGGCCAACAATCGAGCTGTGAGGGGCGTTTAACCCCAGTGCTTCAGAAGGAGGGCGCCTTCTATTCTCTGACATCATGCACAGTACTAATACCTTGAATGAATCGCCTCTCACTCACTCCTCTGACTCCAGCATGACCAAACCCATTGATTACCAGGTTGTTGGCAAGGACAAATGATGCCTCTCTGAGGAGTAAACAAGTTTCCAGGGAGATTTAGTTATTTCTTTTCTGTGCTTTTACAACTGTAGGTAAGTTAAATGAGTGCCTGCATTAAAGTGTAAGATGTTGTCACACTGGATTAATACGGTACCTCATGAATATAACGAGTACAGCAACGATCATGAATGAAGCCAGTGAGCTTTTCTTATTTGATTATTTTTTTATCTCCAGTTTTTTGGCAGCTTAAGTCAAAACTTTTTCCTCCACAGGACTAAATTAGTTTTTGAGGAAAATGTTTACTTTTTAGTTTCCGTCTTCATAACTAATGCAAACTTCCAAACTTTGAGTTTAATTAGGGCTTGTAATAATTTTATACTTGTCCATTAGGACAACTCAAAGTTAAAATAAACTCTGAATATTAGGATAACTCAAAATATCTTTTAAACGAGCAACACTTAAAATGTAACTTTAACCTGTTAATTTAAACATTTATTTTTTTTTTTTTGGGCTAAAAAAACTATATCGTAGACTGGAGAAGAGAAAGAAAATAATGGTTTAGTTTTTGCTCTCTTGCATATATTAACCCCCTTAATGACAATGCAACATGTGCTCGGTGGAGATCCATCAAGGCGCTTTTCGTCTTCTATGTTGTCACGATGAAAGATGCTGCCTTTGCAGGCAGGCTCCACTAGACGTCCCATAGCGTGTCAGGAGTTGTCATAGTGCTGGTTGAGGAATGCTGCTTGTAGTCCCGTGCTCTTTGAAGAGGACACACTGGATAGATTTTTTTTTCCTTTCCAGCTTTTCATCAAAGCCTTCCTTGGCAGGTCTACTGACATAATTTGGATGCTTGGCCTTAGTTGGTCGCCTTGGGAAACCAAGGCGCTCGTGTTTAAGGCTCAATAGTCTTAAAGTTTTAAAAGGCTTGCAAAAAAGCAGTGGCCATAGCTGGAGATGTTGTTATCGTCCCATAGGATAAATCGGGGGTCCAGATTTATGAGTTCATATCCCAGCTTTTATGATGGTTTTATTGGAGGATTTTTTTTCATAGGGGTGTTTTAAACCATCTCAAAAGACAAAAACAGGACGATCCTGTGTCTTAAGGCACAAAAATGACAAGGTATGAACCAACCTGTGGTTTTGAAGTATTGTTACACCCCTACTGATTTCAGCAAGATGATGACAAACCACATTCTACGCATATTACAACAGCGTGGCTCAGTGAAAGAGACCAGGTGCTAAACTGGCTTCCATGCAGCCCAGACCTGTCACCCACTTAAAACATCTGGCACATTATTGAGTGAAATAAATATGACAAAGAACACCTGGAAGTGTTGATCAGGCCAATTTCTGCATCGAGCGAGAATGGGGAAAAAACCTTTTAATTTCAAAAGCAAAACAACTAAGTGTTGTTTAAAGAAAAGGTCATGAAACACAGTGGAAAACATGAGCAGTCCCGTTCTTTAAAACTTGGCGATGGTGGTAGATACAGATTCATTTCTTGGTTTTAATATGAGGAACATTTTTATTCAAAGCTAGGTTGTTAATACATTTTAATTATTATCTTTTTATCTATTTAAGAAAACTGGTTGTGCTTTTGCATTAGCACTTGTCATAGCAGGAAACACACTGACATTTAGCTATCATAATGACCCTGATCAGTTACTGATAATAAGTGTTGGGAAGGTTACTTTTAAAATGTATTCCACTACAGATTACAGAATACATGCCCCAGAATGTATTTTGTAACGTATTCCGTTACGTTACTCAATGAGAGTAACGTATTCTGAATACTTTGGATTACTTAATATATTATCAAGCTTTTTACAACTACATGAATGTACTATTGCTGTGTGATTTATTACCATTACTGAAGGTTACTTGCCATACCAATACCAACTAGATTTTAAATCTTAATATAAAATGAGTAACAGTAGGGTGGACATTAGGTAAAGCTGCACTTTTTGCAGCCATCTTGTATAGAAAACTGTTTCCCGCGTATATAAAACAGGTCTGCGGCTCCAAACCGTAGTAAAGTTAATACGTCGGGTCAGTGTCGGGCTTGTAGCCAAAAACTAGCTTTACTTTGTTGTCTGGGTCAACTTTGCTAGCGAGAGACAGAGAGAGGAGTTAATGTATTCCGTTACTCCCCAACACTGCTGATAATATCTTTAGTTACACCGTTGTCTGGTATCATAAACTTCTTATTTAAAATACTATATTACAATATTAATAATATATTGTTGTGTTCATACTCTAAAACAAATGCAGTACCCTACCTACTTCACTGATGGGGCATAAGAATCTGAAATCTTAAATTACAGTCTGTTATAGAAGGTGATTAATTATAGTCTATATAGTAATAAGAGCCTGTGGGCAATATTTGATGTTGTGTAGATGTACTCTTACCTTGTGTAGCAGCAGTGAGCTTAGCCTAGTGCACCCCCGTTTAATCAGTTGTATTGATCTGGTCCATCTGTTCTCCTATCCTAGGTTGTTTGATGTGTGCACAGTCTCTCGGACTGACCGAGAAACCAAACTCACTCTGGTCTTTGAGCATGTAGATCAGGACCTGACCACCTACCTGGAAAAGGCTCCTGACCCTGGAGTACCGCCTGAGACCATCAAGGTAACCGCTGTCGTTCTAATTTAGGTTTACAGTGGAATGTAAATGCAGTTTGTTTTGTTTTTTTCCATTTTAATGATCACTATAAATGTGTGTGTGCTTGCCTATTACACAATATTCCAAGAAAAAAAATCCCAAGGAGGCTTATTTTAAATATTATTTCTGTTTGAAGTGTATATAGGAAGCGCCTGGTTAATCTCCTGCGGCTGTAGCATTGGTTGAACACAGCCATGTTTCTATGGTTCTGAGTGGGTTTTCTTGGCCAGAGACCCAGAAGGCAGAGCAGTTCCCTCCAACATCAGAGTTACTGGGGCACTCTGAGGGGCAGCACATGTGGCAGATGGGCTCCAAATTAAAGGATCCCTGCCTTCTCTATTTTCACCCTTCTCTCCAACTTTACACAATATTACAGACACAGAGCCAGTTTTAAAAATCTTCCATGTGTGTCTTTGAAAACAGAGCCCTCTAAGTTGTGTGCTAAAAGTTGTTGAATAGGGAAATTTGTTAAATAAATCCACTGAGCATCCAGTTACACTTTGCCAAAAGGTTGGAAGTAGCTCCTTTCCATTTAAAAAGAAAAAAAAAGAAGATCTTTATCGGGTTTCACCCCAAAGTCAGTTGATGTGTCATGAATAATATTGGAAAGGTATATCTCTTTTTTTTTTTTTTTTTTTTTTTAGACAGAGGAGCCTCGAGAGTTTGAAGTGTCAAATTTGAAACGGAGAGGTTCGGGTGCTACGGTAACCGCTGATCATCACCCCGGGCCTGGGTTTGCTTGTGAAAGCTTTGTGTCGAGCCGCGCTGTCAGTGGGATGCAGTGCAAGCGTAGACGAGTCGGGTAGATCACACCTGAGGCTTTCCCATGACTTTTGCCGAAGTTGATACAGACTGTGGTTTCTGTGATGTGTGCGCCGATCACGTCTGCAGCAGATATTATAATACTGCAGCGTTTTTCTGGAAACTCGACGCTTCAGAAATTTTCACAATCATTATGTATAGCTACTTTCAGTTTTTGAGTCCGTTTCAGCAGAAGGTTAATCCTTATTAACTAGTCAGTTGTTTTGAGTCCCATGAAGCTGTATTAACTATTTATATTTTATTTTTTTTTAATAAACTGAAAATAAGGACATAGCCCAAGGGGATTTAATGGAAGTAAAGGGTGGGAAGAAAGGTCCTTTTCTCGGTTAGAATTTAGCTAATTTAATTTAAAAACAACTCCTTAATAATTGTAGTGCCAGTGGATGGAGTAAAAATGTGCAGTTTTATCAAAAGATTGTTGCTTATTTGTCTTGTTAAATGGCCGAACCAATGGTTGCAGATCTCTGACCACTTGTCGCATAGGACTCAACGAATTAATCAACGAAAGGACTGATCATAAACCCCGAATGACTCAGATTCTTTCTGTGGCAGTGTAGAGGCTACTGCACTAAATACGACTGTAGTGAACAAGCGCTCCCCTCTTTTAGTCTCAGACCACGTGTGAAGATGTGTCAACATTGTTCACATTTGAAGCCGTGTTGAAACATCTGGACACTGGTACATACCTCCACTAAGAAGCCTGTGTTGTTGTGCTCAGTATTCAAGAAAAGATGAGGAAGTGGTTTGTACTGGAAAGGAAAGAAGACAGAGAAGTTACATTTCGGCCAGCTTTCTTAACTCTGCAAACCTGGCCTGACAATACTTGAAGTAGGCTTACTTGTGGGATTGCCGGTTTTATAAGATGTCAACCCGTCCAACCATCCACGCTATCCGTGCTTGGACATATCTGACGTTGGAAAAGTTTGAGGAGGCGTTTTGGGGCTCTGAACAATGTGGCCACCCCTTAAGCCCCCTCCCAGGCTCTGCTTTCTCCTAACAGCTGAGGCCTCAAGGAACAAAAGGACAGCGACAATGCTACAGAGGCAGCCAGGCACCATCCCGTGTTATTGCTGGGACAGTGGACACTCCACAGTAACTTGAAGGGGATCCCCTCCCCCCAAAACAACTCCAGATTTTGAATCCCGGTCCAGACGTGTGTCACCGGTGCCCATCTGATTAAATGGCAGTTACCCTTGAGTGTGAACGTGTCCACCTTTAACCGTGAAAAAACATTTACCTTCAACCAGTGGCCCTAAACTCCGAAAGGAGAGGCATAGTTTTTCTCAAAGTCGGTCTTACCGCAGCACGAAGCACCCCACCCTGACCTAGCCTGTCCACTTCAGCCCTCCGCCCAACACCACCCACTCAGGCTCGAGACCCACCACATGGTCATTGATGCAAGGGGCCCTCCTCCAGGAATCAAATGAGCTGGAAGGACATCAAGCAGCCAGGTTGCCCCAACCTCAGCGCTCGTCAGCCGGGCCACCGCTTGGGGCTCGCCCACCCTCCTCCGCCACCATCATCCAAGCTTCCACAACTCTATTCTGTGGGTCCACGAAGAAGGGGGAGAAGAGAGGTTAATGAAGCATGGGGAGGGAATTACACTAACGCTAACCGGCAGATGTCCCATATTGTGCCTGGCTACAATAAACAATATGGCTGCCTCTGCTACATTTGCATTAGAAAAGGAGGCGCACTCAGAAAGCCATGTTTTGACTGCTTTTTGCATGGGCTGACTACTTTTTTTCCCTCCCTCCCTGGACCTCGTTTTCTTTTTCTTCTTTTTTTCAGGGTCAGATCTGTTGCTTTTTTTGTGTGATTTATTTATTTATTTATTTTTTTTATTTCCTCCTGGCCAAGTTGTTTGTGGAGCTTTTTAGTTTGAAGCGTTGCCAGCTGAAGACAGTTGTGTGAGCCACTTTTATCTCTCTGCAGCTGGAATCAGCTTTGAGGGAGGTGGATCGCTTTGTGCCACAAGTGGCCTTTATATTTTTAAGAAGTTATAAACGATATTTTTGTATACATAAACTTGATGTTTGCCTGCTGTCAGTGGTTATATTGACCATGTAGAACGTAGCTGAAATATTTTGCATTACTCAGCTGTGACTCTACCTGATAGTGCAGAGAAGATGACACTCAGGCCGCGGAGGCCAAGACTGTTTATGTGTTTGTCCAAAGGTCACACTTGTGAGATAATTAGTATTTACTAGGAAATGCTGTTGAAAGGAAGCATGGTGAAATGGCTATTTAAAGCACAGAGGAACTGATGGGTGGGGGGGACCGTGCTATTGTGTCAGCCCCCCCCCCACCCACCCTGTATATACACACACAGACACAAAATAACCAACTGCCTGCCTCTGTCCTATGGTCCTGTCTGTCTGCTGCCCTCCTCGGGAGGTCATGGCTCAATGGAGATGTAGAAAGGAAGGTCTGTTTATACATCCTGCCTGTCCTTGGTCAGAGGGCACCCACACACTGATGCACCCTCACACAGACCGAGGTGCACACACACACACAGATTTGGAAATGGATGCGCTCATACTTGCACCAAGCCAGGGGGAACATTGTTAGTTTGTGTATACAAACACACACACTCACATCACTCCCCATCTGCACAGTATTGTGAGCAGGGTGCCCTGTCTCCTCCTCTGTGGCCCGCACAGCAGCCAGCCCCACACTGCTCGCTAATGTTTTCTGCTTCAGTGTGCAGACCCCTTTGACTCACTCACCAGCTGGTCGGCCACTGAATAGAGCTGCGGGCTCAGGTCCATGTCACTTGTGAGGTCTTGGCGGAGTGCTTTTTGGGTTGTTTTTTTTT